TCCAAGGCCTCTTTGAAAGCTGAACTTGGGTGGGAAGGCAGATAATTATAAAATATTGGTTCAAGCCAAAAATGCGTTTTGCAGTGCACTAGTGCCTTTCCAGGTACCAGCTAAACAGCAGGACTGTATCACTCCGACCCATATCCTCACTCCCTTTGAGTCACCATAGTTCAGTCCACACCACAGGCTCTTATTTCAAATTAAAAAATCTTCAAAGTAGAGACTGATTCTTTTTTTTTTTTAATATATATAATTTATTGTTAAAAACAAATCAAACATTTAATCCATGCCCTGTTGTAGCTCGGTTCAACTAAAACGGAGCCAGGAAGTAGATGCCAGTCTGCTCTGCTTTCAGCTCTTGAACAGTTTGCCAGGAAAGCAAGTTACAGAAAGGTCAGCATTTAGCAAGAATGTCAACATAACAAGACTGACATCTTATTAAGGTAATAGTCCCTACCTACTAACAGCAGAAACACCTCCCTACATGGCCCTCCCTGCTAAGGGGAGAAAACCACAATTTACAAAGAATAGTTTGAAGCTGACGGAGTACACATCCAGTGCTTGGATCCACTCTGCTGAAATTCCACCACTGATGAGCACCCTCGTCATATGGCTAATCCCAACTTCACACAATTATTTCATCAACCACAAAGTTCACCTACAGATGACAGAATGAAGCAAATGAAAGAGGCTTTCTCGAAACCCCTCACAAATTTAACATAAAGCCCTAGTAAGCTCACATGTGGATGACACATAGGACTACATTACTTCCTCTTTGTCACATTAAAAGTAACCAGCTTTCATTATTATTTTTGGGCTACTTTCATGCTCCACTTTGAAGGCACCTTGGGCAAGACCTTGCCTCAAAATGAAACAGACAATAATCGATCCAAGAGAAAAGCACCACTGTCCACAACCTAATCAGAAAGCACTTACCTCTCTCTCATTTAGAAGAAATATACAATACCAGCCTAGTGTATCCTGGTCCCGATATATCACCTTCTACCTCAGCTGTCACAGGCAGATTGTAAACATAGATAAATCTACTCTGAGGGAGGAGACACCTTCTGTGCCTCAAACAAAGTCACAAGCAGGGCCAAATACTGGCCACTCACAGAGCACTTAACTGAAGGCTACTGCAATGTAAGTATAATAATCATCAAGAAAACCTTGACAAATCCAATTAAACTTACAGGTTTCAGAGGCATAGTGGTATTACAAATGTAAATATTCACTCTATGGTTGGAGGAAACACCCTTAAAACACAAACACGGATGACTTGGCTAATTCACATCCATCAAGATAACGTACAACGCACTGAAAAAATCTGATTGATAAGGTATTGCTGAGTCAATAAGCCTAACAGAAATAGAGCTGAGCATATCAAGATAACAGTTTGCAGAAAAACAAACAAAAAAAACCCAGAGCACAAGACAAGTAGACTTGGATAATTAAAACATCATCATTGTACACAAATACTCAGAAGAAAGCTGGCAAAGCAGGGAAAACACAAAAAACCCTTTCAATTAAACAATTAATAAAGCAGGGGGTTAGCACACTAAGAGTGCAGTAACAAGAGGATTTAGATCCTGAAACTTTCATAACATTTAAGCAAGCCGAGATTAAACCAAAATCGCCCGAACCCAAACAGGACTTCATTCTAGGTGCATCCACTTTGAGTCATGTGCAATAC